AAGCAATCGCTATTTACCAAAATAATTAGCGATGCTATTCGGGGCCGCGCCATCTGCCAAAAATAGCGGTTAGATGGCCAGGCTGCGCCATCTACCGTCGCTATTTTTTTTTGCGCCATCTATTTTCACCCTGGTGTACAATTTATTCTATGGGTTTGGTTTATATAATTTACCAGCAGACTATGGTATTTCCCCTTTGCATATTTGTGTCCACTCCCCCAAATTATGGTTGACATCTCTTGATCCATTCCCCAAAATTATGGCTGACATCTCTTGATCCAATTAGGTGTCCACTACCCTAAAATTATGGTTGACATCTCTTGATCCAATTAGCTTCCGGCCACTGTTCCTTCCCAAGGCAGTTTCAGAAACTGCTCCTGCTGCTGAAGCACCCATGGAAGTTGAAAAGGTTGCTGCTCCCGAAGCTGAAGCGTCGATGAAGGTTGCCCAGGAGCCACCTGCATCAAGCATGGAGAAGCTGACAGGCGACCCAATTTCACCAGTGCCAGTCACCCCGCCACCGAAGGTGCGTGCTGTGTCTGACAGGAGTGCTCCTAAGCATGTTCTCTACAAGAGCCGTCGCTGCGGATCCTTTTGCCGTGATTGCCGGCGTTGCAGTTTCGATCCTACATGGTTTCGGAGCAAAGAGTGTGTGCCTGCTGAGTTCAAAGCTGAAGTTGGTGAAAATGAAGAAATTCATTCGCCAGCTGAAGGTGAAGCTGATTCCATTTTGGAACAGGTGGAAGAAGCTAAGCTGCTGAAGGAAAAGTTGATGCTGCTGAAAGAGCTCCAGGCAGAAGAGGCCCGCTTGGAGCAACTCTTGCTTCTCAAGTCCCAGGAATCAGAAACTGCAAAAAAGGAGGAGAAGATGGACAAGGAAATCACCCACATCCGTGTAGAAGCCACTGCTCCACAGCCCAATCCCGACAACTTGGAGACTTTGCCATGGGAACCTGACTTCCCCCCTGTCATCACCCCAGAGGAGAAAGAGAAGCAGCAGGCCATGGTCTTAGAAGACTATGCGAGGGACATGGAAGGGTACGAGAATGACAAGATGGAAAGACATGACAAGACTTTCATTGACCCCCTCGCCAAGAACTTCAAATGTCCCAGGGTCGAAGCAGTTGTGGCCTACCGTTCTGAACCTGATCCGAGCAAAGATGAAAAGCTAGGAAAAGTTGAAGGAGATCTGTCTACAGGTGATCGTCTCACCTCAATCACTGTAGTGGAGAAGCTCGCTGATTTGTGCCGCAAGTTCCAACACTCAGCTGATTCTGGTTCCAATGCCGATGATTTGATTCACAGTCTCAAACGGTCTTTGGATGAGATGCTGCTTGGTGCAAGCCCTTCTGGGAATGCCCCTTTGGAGAAGCCGTGCAAGTCCATGAAGGCTGATTGCAACAGCAGCGGTGCTGAGAGCAAGACCGAAGCAAAGACCGAGGACAAGACTCCGTCAACTGAGGACCACCGAGAACAAGATGGAGGATCACAAATCGATTGTGAAGGATTACACGAAGAGGAGGAATCCGAGGAGGAGGAAGAGGATCAGCAAGTAGACCAAGATGTTCGCCCGGCTGCTGTTGAAAGGGCCACCTGGGTGTCCCCAGCGATGCAGAACAAGTTAGCAGGGAAGAAACCAAATGACGAAGAGGATGAGGAGGGAGACTCAGAAGCCAAGGAGTCGGGAGATGAGGACGAGGATGGTGAGGAGAAGCCAAGCAGTTCCAACAGCCGGAAGAGAAAATCCAGAGGAACAAAGCGCCAGCCCAAAGCCCGAGCCAAAGCAAAGGCGAAGGCCAAGGGGAAGGCTGCAGCCAAGCGGAAGTCTAAGAAAGAGGGAGAAGATGATCACAAGAAAGGGCCTGCAGCAAAGGGCAAGGCCAAGGCAAAACCTTCGGCAGCAGCCAAGGGGAAAGCCAAAGGGAAAGGCAGAGAAAAAGCCAAAGAGGGAGCCGGTGCTTCCCCTGATCCTGCAGGTGTCTGTGAAGATGGCCCATGTCCATTTTGCTTGGACAAGAAGAAGCGTCTAAGTTTCCAATCCTGTGCTTACAAGTTTGCACGGACTGCTGCTTTGAGAGAAGGGAAGGATCAGGAGGAAGCCATCAAACTTGCGAAGAAAGTTTCTTATCTTCATTCATTTTCAAATCACCATCAGCCGGGCCAAGTTGGACCATGTTGAACTGTCGCCTATTTTTTCTGGGACTGATATCGCAGCTAAAACGATTGTATAGATTTGACTTTGGTGCCTTTGGTTTTTGACCTGAAATTCCATTGGCTTGATCTGAGGCTTACCAGGACTCCAAGAACGACTACAAGCCCATGACCGACCAGCCCGGGTGTACTTGCAAAGATGTTGACTAGATCAGTTCATGTCAGCGTAGGTGTATGGGGGCGCCACTGTGCGTGCTAAACATGCACATGGTGGAAAGCATGTTTTGACACAGTCTTAGCCGACGTGCTGTCTATCTGTGTTCTCATGTTTCAATCTCTGGGGTTGTCAGCTGGATGGTCGACATGAGAGGTCTGTGGCAAAAAAAGGCTACGCATGTCCTGTGGAAATCAAAATTTATGGATGAATAATTTCAAGGACCCATGATCCCATGAATTTGAAGTAGGTCATCTCCAAAAAAATTAGGACTGTCATGTCATTCCAACAATCCTGTCAACCAATCCTGGTTCGATTTTTATGTGAACCATCCCAACTACAGCTCATCGATCTACCATTCCCATACACGCCCTTGACAGGTACTTTTGATGGCTGATGAGAGGTGGTGCTGCAAAGCAGGTGCGCCCCCGCCGTTGCCCATGCAGCGATGTGGTATGTCGATCTTTTGATGTTTATTTTTTAATTGGGTGTGAAGGAGCCAGCTAATTCAACACAACCAGAATCAAAAATGTATCTGACCGAGTGAGAAAAACTATTTGATGCAGCTTTTTCTGGATCTAGCTCTGGCCACCGTTCCCAGCCTCATTGGCCAAGAATCAAGAGCGATCCGCAGCATGGAAGCCATGCCTGCCGAATCGGTGGTTTCCAACTTAATAGAAGTTGGCTCGCCAAAGGTGCCAAGTAGTTTTCTGATAATGTTTCGGGTTTGGGGTTGTTGGGATTTAATGCCTTGACCATTTCCCCTTGAAGAAAGAAAAACCCTGGCCCTGAAGATACTGATTGCCATCATACTCATGATGAAGTGGTCTACCAACATGGCGATGACACCGAACAAGTTTCAATTCTTTGATGTGTTCAGTGGCGCATCGAACTGCAGCAAATCATGGCCCTGCTCTCAGGCCCAAACAATGCCATTGATAAAACGGTATGAACATGTATGAACAATCAGTCAGTCTTGGGGCATGTTCATATGGGGTATTTGCAAGGTGGTGCCCCCTAGTTATAAATTGGTTTACGAACCCCATTAACCTACTATAACCCTAAAAACCAAAGTTATTGGAGTTATAAACCAACTTAGCAACCTTGGGGGCACCACCTTGTGGGGTTATGATTCAGCTTAGGCAAAAACGTGGGTATTCCGTGGCAACATTTGACTTGGAAATCCATCCGGCAATGAACTTCTTGACCCCGGCTGGCTTTTTGTCCCTAGCCTCAATTTTAGTTATAGTTCCACTAAAATGGACATACTTAATGGATCTTAATGGTCCCTCTGGTGTCCATATCCCTTCTGGCTCGCTTCAGGCTAACACTTTGGGTGCTACTACAGGAAAGCCCTGACTCGCTCAACATGGCAGGGGTGGATTGCGCCCCTTGGGGAATGCCTGCGAGGGGTACAACCGGCAGGTCAATTCTTAATATTCTTGGACGGCAAGAGTTAAGCTTCGTTTCCAATGGAAATCAAATGATAGCACGGTTGCTGGCACCAAAGTTTGTGACGTCCCACCAAGAACAAATGGGAACGTCTCGAAATAAGGGATCCCAAAATTTTACTAATAGAAATGCAATGAAATATTTAATTGAGTGATCCCCTATTTTGAGACATTCCCAACTGTTTCAAATGTCTTAGGTGCTGGGTGGGTCTTATCCTTGAAATACCCCTTCAAAAAACAAAAGATGTGGTACTTTTGGTGGGTTGAAATGGTTTGGAAGTTTCACACTGGTCAGTTTCAAGTTCACCTACCCTCCTCATGTGAGGCTAGTATTATTCTGTCTCGTGTGCTTGGCACGTCATTTGATATTCGTGGTAGAGAACCCGAGTGCAAGCCTCCTTCCACATCACCCACGCTGGAGTTGGTTCCAAAATCGATGCTGTTGGGAAACTTGTCAGATACAATACTTTTGCACATCAACAAATGGAATCCATGTATTTTTGGATGCCCACCACCGAATAATACATATTATATATATATATATATTAACATCTGAGGTGTGGAGACAAAACTTTTGGCTGGGGCTCTTCTCTGGTGCAGCATCGCCAAAGCCACTTATGGCACTATCCAACAGTCCTTTCATTCGGGGGCTAAACCTTGGGGCTATGACCAGCGAGACGAAGAAATGCAATAACTTTGTGAAAACTACATGTGCCTTCGCTGAAAAAACAACTAGACTGGCCGTGGTTGTTTTGTATCGGTGTGTGGCAACATGCAGTATGAATAAATATCTTTCCCCCTTAACAGGTTAATTGTCTCTTCGATCCCTTTTACCTATTGAACCTATCCAATTTTCAAATCGGGTGAAACTGCCTTCTTCCTGCATTTCCCCAGGTGTCTACGAAGATTCTGCTGGTCGCAAACGTTTTGTTGGCAACCGAAACCTCTCCAGCACCAAGTGGCTGGCCTGGCCTGATGTGGTAGGTAAATTGGATGAGCCGTAAAGTCCTGGGAAGAAAAGTCCCCCGCAATCATAGTAATGAATGTTAAGGGTAACTGATAAGCTTGGGTAAACATAGATAGATCAAAAGTGGTTCCAGGGAATCCCATGGGTCCAACGGAGTAGCCAAATCAATCCAAGTTCTTCGATTTATCAATGGGCCAAATTTCCAAAATCTTCTGTCAACCATAATCAATCTCCAACCTTTTCTCAGGGGTGGTGGTGAACATTTATTTTATGGGGAATAGAATGGATTTCATGGGTATGTTTCTGTGACCTGTTTAGTTCAACCAAGGGTCTATCCGAGATCTTTTGCTGACAAGCTATTGGAACTTTACGAGAAGCATGCTCATGAGCCTAGATATGACCTTCGCTGTAAACGCCCCGTTGACCGTAGCCTTAGTGACCGGCAGCTCTTCAACCAGATGAAGGACACTGACTTGTGGCTTGATGCAGGGCTCCCTGAAGTGTTGGCCTATTGTTGGTCAAACAAATACTTGGTAGTCCCGGATTCATGGCAAAGCTGCATGACCGAGTATGTGCAGTCAGTTTGCGAACAAGTGATTTGGCTTCACTATTCAAACATTTGGCACTTATGAAACATGTTGGAGAATCTGTGTGACATGCATTTAGGCCTCAACCCTAATACGACTTGAGCTGAGGTGATTCCAAATGCTTGATTTCACCAATCTCGATGCACGGTGCCCAATTTGCTAGCAGCAGGAACCGAACCATTGACTGGGGAAAAAATCGAACACTTTTTGGATTTTCGGTGGATGGGTGAAAATGGGAACCCGCAAAACGAGCGCAATTTCCCGCAAAACGAGCGCAAATTTCCGCAAACGAGCGCAAATTTAAAAAGTGTTAGTTTTGATTTTCGGGGTCGAACACTTTTTTGTTTTTCACCTGACTGTCTCCAATTTATCCATTTTGGGTGCCCAGAAACCTGGCTCCAAGTGTGTAGATCCCTTGATGTTCCCCCTCCGGTCCTGTTCAACCTTCATGGCTGGGGCTCCTGCATTGGAGCGGAAGCTCACGGGTGTGGAGGGCACAGTGGATGTTGATGCCGCCTTACAAGTATCATGGATATGCTTCAGATCTAAAAATCTGATTTTCATATTTTATAATTCCACCACATCCCACTATATCCCTCTTATATGTATATAACTTATATAACTATAAGATTCTGTTCCACCACATCCCACTTAGAACTATAACTTTATTCCACCACATCCCACTCATATAAGACTTTATTCCACCACATCAGACTTCTAACTAGAAGACTTTATTCCACCACACCCATTGGGAAACTCACTCATACTGGCTGAGGCTTCTATGGACCGCATTCGCGGAATTCAGGACAAGTTGAAGAACACGAAGGCGGCGCCACGTGCAAAAGACGACGAAGGCATGCCGCTCTGGATGGTATTTCTACTTGATCGAATTTTAAAATGAAGGCCCACTCTAATCGATTTGATTTTAAAATCTTGATTGCCATTCAGGCGCTCCCTTTACCAGTGCTTCTACAGGGGCATTTATCGCAGGGGCGGCTGTGAAGACCCTGAGTACCGATGCTGATTTACATCTTGGGCATGACACAAAGCCTGTTGGTGAAAAGGCACCTCACCATGTTGACGAATCCCCAGAACCACCTGTCTTCCAAGATGCGCAGTCCAATCAATATACACCAGCGCCTACTCAAGTTGAAACACCTATGACACCCATGGCTGATGACAAAGCCACGAGATCACTAGGCCCTGTTTTGGACGCTGTTGCTGTCCAGTCCAAGGTCAAGAGTTTCCTTGAGGGTTTTGAAACCGCAAAACCTTTCCTAGAGTCAAACTTGACACTGGCTGAAATTGAGACAGTCCTTGTGGATGGTGGCTTTACTGAGTCCGAACAAAAGACTACGATTGAATTCTTGCAGACTTACCGACGAGGGCAATCCAAGCTCCAGGAACTGACGGGACACTTGACATGGATGAAGGAGTCAGGGGCAGACCCTTCGGAAATGCTTCCTTTGGAATCTGGGATTGCCTTGTTGGGCGTCAAGCCTGAAGAGCCTGCAGACTTAGGCAAGGGAAAGGGGTCTGGTAAGCCAACGGACCCAGCAGATGACAAAGGAAAGGGAGGACCATCCAAAGAGTACTGGCAGTTTCTTGCCATTTTTTATTGACATACAACAAACAAATTCAAAGGTGGACCCCGCGACCATGCAATACCGCTGTTTTTGTTGCCAAGGCTTTACCGCTATGTCCAGCCACGGGCTAATGGTAGCTTCAAATGTTCGGAGGATGTTCTGAAAATGTATCGGAGCCCTGATGGTCGCCCCTTGCCCAAAACAGTTTGGAACTGGGTGATTTTACATTGCCTCTTTTCATGCCTGCATGCATTCCGGTTTATCTTAGGTGAACGCCTGCTGGGCATGCTACGTGAAGGTGGGAGCGTGACTCAAATGGAGGTGCTGGTGAAGAAATGGCATAAGGTGATCTCTGAGAAGAACAAGGGGGGCCGTTGGATAACTAAGCTGCAGCTCATGGAAGAATACAACTATACCGAGTAGCTGCCTTAGCATTACTATATGAAATTCTATCAGTCATGTACCAACACATGGCCAGCATGCCCAAAAAAATATATTTATTTCATTCTCACTTGCCTAAAGTGCATGTTATTTCATACCTAGGACAATGGCGGACAAATCTTTCAAATGGGCCGCAGAGAAAGGCAGCGGTTTTTTTCGAAAGAACCCGGTGCACGGTGAAGAGGAGGCTAAGTTGGTCTTGACAGATGCCTTTAACGTCAATGAGCAGGATGGAAATGAGATGACATGTGAGTCATCCTTCAATGTTGAGGATTCAGGTGACACCCTGTTCAACCAAGTTGAAGGGGTCGAGGGGGTTGAGGATGAGGTGCCCCCTGAGACTCCCCCTGCAACAGCTGCTGGTTCTTTCAAGTTCCATCCTCATTTGTTCTGGAAAATGTGATATCCATCTAACTGCTCCTTATTCCCATCCCGCAATCCCTGATCCGTCCTGTCACCATGCCCAGGCTGTCGTTTCCGGTCATCTCCGAGATGGTTGCGATGACGTCCCTGCTGCCACCTTGCGTCGCGACTCTGGGTAAAAAGATTGATATGGCAGAGCAGGCCAAGGACCCCTCATGCAGCTTTGAACATTCATTCGTTCAACAATGAGGCTATGAAACAGTTGGTGTGTTACTTATTCATGTTGATCCAAACATTCCAGGACAAAATTGATCCGAATAGCAGTGATCGGGCTAGGGGGTTTCTCAGCAGCAGAGATGTTTCATGTCCCATATCTTCTCGATTCTTCCCTTTACACCTGTATACCGGCCCAATGTTTGCCCAAACTGGCATGACTTTGCTAAGGCTTCTTCACTCCATCAACTCTACCCTGAACAGCATGAACACGATCTACGGCCAGCTCACGGGCATTCAGAGCGAGGTGATTGCAGGTGAGAAAAATGACAGGCCAGAGTTTAAAGGGGTCAATGTTAGCCCACGGCATTTTTTGGTCGTTCCAATGTTCAAAACATATTATGTTGCGCCAACCCTGCAAGTGACGTGAAAGACAACCTGGAAAAGTTGTTCGTGGAATGCACGAAGCATGATGTGAGCCTCCACAACTTCTTGACTCGTGCCCGGACACTAGGATCCATCATTTTATTTCGGCAGAGTTGTAACATGCTTTCACTGATTTCATGCAACAACAAATTCACTTTGCTTTCAGCTTGCCACCAAGATTTCCACCAGTCTGTTCCAGCTCAGGAACATCAAACCGGCCAGCAAGGCCAAAAGCAAGCCTGAGCCAAAGGCGAAGACCAGGAGCCATCCGAAAACCGAGCCCTCAGAGGAGCCGAGCGGTTCTAGTTCCAAGAAACGTGGGAAAGCTGCTGAGCCAGTTGACCCACCCTCCAAGAAGAAAAAGGCCAAAAAGTAAATAATTGAAATTTGGCTGGGCTTTCAAGTTTTGGGTGATGCTTGGGAAACACATGGTTCCAAGCTGGATCGAAAATCGCAGCACAATACGGGGTTGAAAATGATGTGCTGCAGCACTGCATGCCCCTGCTGAGTTTGATCTTGTGTTGACTCCACACCAAGTGGAAAATTCAGCTATAAGGAATTGATAAAACAACTGAGAAAACATGTTGTAGCTGCCCCAGCGTCAGGTCTTTCGGATTCAGAATCTGATGATCGCCAAAGCCATCACGATGATACATGCCCAGTTCTCAGTTCATGTTGGGGTTCAAATGAATATAGCATGAAACACAACTAAAAACATAATGACACCGAGCTCATATTACCACCCCATACCAAGCAACTTTCAGGTTCTTCGGATGACCCACTGGAGACTGAACTGATGACTGCTTTTGAAGATGGAGCGGCTTGTCCAAATAAGTCGCCGCTGTATGCTTAAGTTGGAAAAGGTCTTCTTGCCTTTTATTTCCAAAAGGGTTGCAACACGTTTCAACATGTTGGGACTTCAGGCCTAGAAAAGTTCAGATTCAACACCCCATATCTGGCCCTATCTCTTAGGTTGACTCTGCTAGACGCGTGGTCCGAGTAGCTGCAGCCAGTGTCCAAAAGCTACGAAAATATGGTGGCTTGGCTCTACAGGGTTGTAGGAGGTTGTAGACTTCCAGCCTAATCAATGGTGAATGGACAATGCGCCAAGTTTGGCAAACTATATTATCGAGATCTTGCAGGTGTGAAACTTAAATATATATGATAGATCTACAAATCAACCATGGTCTGCCCAGGTGTGTCCGACCCTGCCATGAACCGCTTGGCGAGATGCAGCTCCAACTGCAAGCGGGAGAACAACCTCCGCCGAAATCTTCAGACCATGTTGGTCAGAACTGGCCGCCAACTGAACGTGAAGATCAGCTGGATACCTTGCCCGGTGAGGGTTCTGAGAGCTGGGAAAGTAAAGAAACAAACTGTTGATTGGCCAATGATCCTTTGTAGTGATTGGATCAAAGCAGCTTTAACCCACAGGCCCGAAATTCTCTTGGGAGGAAACCCTGCTACCCCAACCCAAAGTTGGCAGAATCTATTCGGCTAGTTCTGGAAAGACTATGAACAATGTGACCCAACACACCCCATTTACCATGAAGTGGATGTGGGAAAGAGGGGCCTTTTCTTGCCCCTGGGTCACCATGGAGATGAAGGGCGTGGTCGTGTGCGCATCCCCGTGTTGATAGAGAATTTTTGCCCGGTGATTGGTTGGAAAGGACTTGATTTTACATCACTTTCTGGGACCCTTGTTTGTACCAAATTTGTGTTTTTTATTTTATTTTCCCACGCCCACAAAGTCACCACAAACAAACCATATCTTTTGGTTATATATATGTTGGGCCATTGCCTAGGCACACCTTCACTACAAGACTACTGATCACTGCTATGTCGAGCAAGAGTTACACCCCGGGCAGCCAAGATGCTCTTCATGAAGCGCTGGCTGCAGACTTGCGTCAGCTGTTTTCCTCAGGAGTGCAGGTGTGAGATTGCCAATCGTAACCCTTCACTACAGGATGTCAGGAATACGACATTGATATGAGTTGATTGAGATTTGCTTTCAAAAAGATTCCCCAAAAGTTTCAAGAATATTTCCGAATGTTCGCAATGTAATTACTTTTTTGCCCATGGTCTAGGTGAAAGTGGGCGATCACACCTTCACCCTGCATGTTGCAATGGTGGCGGGTAAAGGCGATTGGCCTTATGTCCGCAAATGTTACGGCCTTACAACTGGTTTTCAATGCCCCCGTATTTGCCACATGTGCCCGAAAATAGTATCTTGGCTATTGACTCCTGGACATCAGCCTTTTTTGGTACCCAAGACTATATAATATTGTGGGGTAAATTATTGTAAAAATTGAATTTAACAATTTTTTTAAGACAAGCCTAGGCATGGTGGAACTTGGGATTGAGCAATCCTATACGAGTGTGGGATAGCAGTGAGGGACCTTGCCCCTTCAAGCGGAACCAGGGAGTTGGTATGAGAACCATCCATGGGTTTGATGAGCCCTTCCGTATCCGACCAGACCAAATGCATGTCTACGCATATGGTTACGGCAAAGACTTTGCTGCCAGTTCTGTGATTCTGTGCGCTCGCATGAAGGTGTGGCCAGGGCGGGGTCTGGATGCAAGGCTGGAGATTGGCTTTCAGAAATTCCGATCTTGGTGTCGACGCAACAAAAAATCCACCAGCCTACATGAATTTTCCAGGAAAATTTTCAAGATGGGTCAGTTCCTTGGATTATTTTGGAAAGGGTTCAAGCTAGGATGCTGTACGGAAAACCCTACTGCTTCAAGATTTACCATTCCTATTCTTGATCCGTCTCAGGTACTGGAACAAGTTTCCTACTGGCTGTGGCAAGGCCTACGATGCCACCTTGGTGGCCCGGTGGCTGGAGGAGGAACTACAGGATGCTGATGTTGAAACTCAAAAGCTGTGTAAGCACGTTTTGTCTGTTCTTGTGTGTGTAACGTCTGAACAATGTGTAAAACTTCTAAATGCAGGGGGCCCGTGGATGCATAGATGGCACGGGCCAACGAAGACCCATCTATGTCGTCGTGCAAAACGTACCTGCAATTTTCCAGTTTATCGTCTATGGCAACCGGCTAAGCCAAGAACCGGACCTTAGCTCATTGCTCTAATCTAACTGCATGTCAGGGGATTCAGTTCCCAACGGATCACTTCGATCCATTTCTTGTCTAGTCTGTTTTCCACGGTGACTCCGACATGGTGCCATGGAGCCAATTGAGGCAACCCTGTTTAGGGCAAATGAGGACTGACTCGACTTCCGAATTTACACTTTTCATTTTAGTAATTCGTTTAAGTAATGTGAAGCAGTCGGCCATTCCGTTCTCCACTTTTTGCAACGTCTGGCCGCTCCTGCTGTCTTTGCGACACCTTGGAACTTTCATCTTTACTCAAGTGAAGCCGATCCGAACAGCCATAAACCTCTTTTTTCGCTGATGCTCATGTTTCTCATGCAACATGCAACATGACAGATGGTCCACGCAGGTACATGCCTTCCAGGTGTGGTGATTCTTTTCTTTTGATGGTTTTCTGGTGAGGTTAAACATTTTGTGCATCTAATTCGCTTGAACTTGAACAGCCGTTTATGCCCATGTGGCTTGATCGACCACGGTCCCGTTTTGGGAGTAACGCACGATTACTTAGGAGTGAACTGAGTCCCTTTAATTTCATTTTGTTGTTTTGCTCTTGTCACCAACTAGTTCCCCGTTCGGTCCCTAATTCTTCCCCCGTGCCCCTCTGCATGTAATGTCTCGTGGGGTTCAGGTGTGTGCTCTGTGTTGGTTAGGTCCGTTTCGCCGTGTAGGTTGGTTCCGGAGGTCCGTCTGTTCCCTTCCCCCCCTGCGCTGCTTTGGCCTTTGCCAGTCGTTTGTGTCCGCTTTTTTCTTCCTCTTGCCTTTCAGGGTCGACCGGCTCCGGCCGGGTGTGTGCGTGTGTGTGTGTGCGGGGGTGTGTGTGTGTGTATGTGTGTGTGTGTGTAACATCTGAACAGATGTAAAACTTCTAAATGCAGGGGGCCCGTGGATGCATAGATGGCACGGGCCAACGAAGACCCATCTATGTCGTCGTGCAAAACGTACCTGCAATTTTCCAGTTTATCGTCAATGGCAACCGGCTAAGCCAAGAACCGGACCTTAGCTCATTGCTCTAATCTAACTGCATGTCAGGGGATTCAGTTCCCAACGGATCACTTCAATGATCCATTTCTTGTCTAGTGTGTTTATATATGTTATGGATATATGATATGATGATAAGGTGATTTTCTTTTTTGTTCCGTGTTTCATGTTCAGTGAGGAAGAACATCATGCTGAAAAACTGGAAGTTCTACAATGGTCCTTGAAGCACACTAGCATCTTTTTCAGGGCTCTCCACAAGTCTGGCGTTTGGCTGGGGCGCAATCTGGCCAAAACAGCTGCTACTAGTGGATGGAACATGACAGCCGCTAAGAGAAATTAAGCTAGCAGCTATTATATACCTTCCCTTGAAATTTCTGGGCCACCAAATATCCCCAAATAATTGCTTGTAGTTCGGTTTCAGCTTTTGAATGCCTGTGTCCTAAGGAGGGGTACGGTTGCCTTGCAGAGCTGTGTGCTCAATGTGGCTGGCGCATGTACCGGATTAGGCCAAAAATCCACCTTCAACAACACATAGTGTTTCCTGGCTAGGCCAAAGGTTGAACAATTTTGTCTTGTTTTCCAATGAGCCTAAGGGGGTTGAATGTTTCCTTTCAAAGGGTTTCGTTGCGTCTCCATATCTCAGGAGAGATCTTGAACTTCAAGTATCTAATGGGTGTCGTAAAGTCTTGAACCCGTTGAGTTGGTCAACGTGGATGGATGAAGACTTTGTGGGGAGATGCAGCCGCATCTCCCGAAAATGTCATTCTTGGAATATGCCGCTGAGAGTACTTCAGGTGGCGTTGTTGAAGTACAGAAGACATTGGAAACATTGGTAGGTTTCCAGTTAATTCAGCTAAGTTTCGAATAGCTGTGCCGAAGGGGAAAATGATCGACCCACCAGCTTGTTGATGAAGCCGAGGTGATTGTGTGACTGTGTGTTTGTGCATGGAGGTGTGAACCGCACAGAAATCATAAAACCGAACAAAAATTCCAGAGAGAATCAAATCGAACACAAATTCTGAAACCGAACCTCGAGCAAAAAAAATTACTACCATTGAGGGTAGAGGCAAGTCAGGTTCAACAGGTTCCGTAGAAGGTTCCGGAGAGAGGCTTTGGTGCAGAGCCAGGTCAGGTTCAACAGGGTTCCGGAGAAGGTTCCGAAGGTTCCCGAGAAGGTCTGGGATGCTTTGGCGCAGAGCCAGGTTCCGGAGCAGGTTCCGGAGAAGGTCTGGGAGGCTTTGGTGCAGAGCCAGGTTAGGTTCAACAGGGTTCCGGAGAAGGTTCCGGAGAAGGTTCCGGAGAAGGTCTGGGAGGCTTTGGAGCACGCTGAGGTGTTTTCAGTGCTTGGCTTCGCAGCACGCTTCAGAAAGATTCGTGAAAATAAAACGTTGCGGCTGTTGGGGATATCACCGAAGCTTATTTACGACAAAACTTGATTGATGTAGTTGAACTTTCTTGATGGAGCCTCCTGGAGATGGGTGAGCCATCCCGCCAACCAGGTGGTATGGGCAGACATGGCATAAATTCAAGAATCTGAGACATACAAAGCAGGGGGCTTGTGAACAGTCAGGAATGGACCGGACTTGCAGTTTCTTTGTCATGTGTTTTTTTTGGGGGCCCTGCTTCAAGCAACTTGCGTTTCTAATGGCCCACAGACTATTTTTGATGTCATTTTGCTCCAGTGGTTGCCAGTGCGTTTTTGTGGCGCAGGTGCCATATATGGAACTGGCAGCGCGGGCAGAGGTACACCGTTCATTTGCAAGTGGAACTGATGGTTCAAAAACTGCACATGGGAATTGGATGGAACTGGTTGGTTGGGTGCCGAAACTTGTAGGCGCAGCAGAAACCCTTCGATGCTTGGCTGCTGTATGGCAAAGCAGCTGAGGCTGGATCCAACCGGATCTTCTCTAAAGTTACATGAGTTCCAAGGGGCTGGTGATGTCAAGGCTGCTAGTTCTCCGAATGTCGCAAGGTGGGTAGAGGAAAACGGTCTTTTTCTTCCAGCTCTGACTCGACGAAGGATCATCCACAGGGCATACGCTCAAACGATGCCACAACCATATTGTACCCAATTCGGATCTTCACAAATTCTGATCCCCTGCATTCGATGTGAACAGACAACCAATTCCGGTAGGGATCGGTGATGGCGCTGGCAGGATTTCATGGTTTTGGAAACACAAGAAAAGGATAGAAGTGGGATTGCTAGTCGATGAAAGATTTTCATGGAAATAAAGTTCCAAGTTTTTGGCTTGCTGTCTGGCTTATTTTTGGTTCGGCCCATCGGATTCCATGTACGGAGCAAGAATGATAAGATATGATAAGAACCCAGGAAACCCTAATCTTTCCTATCAACTCGTTCAGCTCTGGGTTTTTCCATGGGTTTGCTATCCATTTTCCCCTCATCCGATCCTAGAAATCCCATGAAATCCCCAGATCCACTGGATCCAGGTGGCCAAGGGAGCCGCGGGCGAGCTCTTCCGCCTCCGGGCGCTGGCCGCCATGGCGCGGCGGCCTGGGAGATGGAATCTGGGCGACATATATATAATTATAGTTAGTATGAATATATATTATGTGCCTCTATGTATGTATAGATATGTATACATATATATATATATATATGTACATGAATAATATAGAGAGAGGGAGAGATGTGGAGAGACAAAGGGAAAGATAGAAAGCACAGATTTCTTTTAAAAGACACATGGTCCAATTTATAGTTTTCTGATCTTTTTGGGTGTGCCTGGCTTAAAATCAAAGTTGGGGGAATATCATCTAAAATATCGGAGTTGTTCCTGGTTCGCTGGAGAATTGGCAAGTGGATACAAAATGATACATGCTGAGACTCGCTCTTTAGCAGGGGGGGCTCAAGTCTTCCCAGGCGTTGTGCAAATAGTTGGAAAGATGAGAATGACAAATCATGACAACCCTTGCAACACGGAGGTGTGCATCTTCGCACAGCCAAGAAGAACCCTGAAAATCCAACAGTACAGAACAGCTGTTGCCATAGCTGCGACTGAAATATGTATACAACACTTACAACCATGCATTCCTTTCCCCCTTGCGTTCTTTAGTATTGACGGGTTCCAAGGCCTCTCACCTCGAGACTTGTGCCGTGGCAGACGCCTCCAAAGGGGTTGAGTTTGGAGATGCCGCGGCCCAAGCTCTGCTGGAGGGTGAAGATGAGGCCAATCCTGGCCACCAAAGCAACCATGGCCGGCCCCATCTAAGGTCCTGAGCTACTCAATCCTGGCAGGGAGACCTGATGGCCTTGAAGCGCTGATCGATGGTTTTTTTTGATGCCACAGTGCTGCGACCACAGTCGGACTTGGCTTGTATTTCTCATGCTTCAACTGAACGGTGCATCCGAATCTCCCAAACATGTCCTGCAGTTATGGCAATCGCATTGATAAAATTTGAACCCTCAGAATTGACCAGTGAACCTCAGTGAATCTCGACTCAGGTGCAATCGCTCGAGGCAGTGGGGCGTGCCAAAGCCCAGGGGTCCAGCGATGCAGACAACCCGACCCTCGCAGCTAGGGACCATCAAAATGACGTCGTATTCTTTGCATGTTCGAAACCCCAGAGTGGAGAACAAAGTTGAACAAAGTGCCTTCCTGAGAACCTTCCCGCAGGCAGAGAATCAACTCTTCAAGAAACAAGTGTCACAGCTGTTGAGATATTTGGATTTTCTGTCTCCTCATCATCCCTTCCTCCTTACCACTATATAGTATAGTTACGTGGCGATGAGAGTCGGCCTTTGTTCATCAGCAAACAGAGCACCAAATTTTTGGACACTGGATCTTGACAACAACGAAGCCCGCAATGCGAATACCCTCAGCCAGGGGACATTGGTCGCTTGTGACCCTATTCACTGTTTCTACGTTTTGAAGTAACAAAGATAGGGTCACAAGTGACCAAGTGTGCTTGGAGTCCCACACCTGTCACACAAAAATGGTGCGTCCCCTTTGTGGTCGCCTGTGACCCTATTCGTGCCCGAAGTATCATTTTTGAAGGAAGTCTCGCAGAAAAGCTTCGTTTTTGAGTTTCGCAGCTTCATTTTTGAAGGAAGTCTCGCAGAAAAGCTTCGTTTTAGAGCTTCGAAGCTTCATTTTTGAAGGAAGTTTCGCAGAAAAGCTTGGTTTTTGAGTTTGGAAGCTTCAGTTTTGAATGAAGTCTCGTAGAAAAGCTTCGTTTTAGAGCTTCGAAGCTTCATTTTTGAAGGAAGTCTCGCAGAAAAGTTTGGTTTTTGAGTTTGGAAGCTTCATTTTTGAAGGAAGTCTCGCAGAAAAGCTTCGTTTAAGGGCTTCGAAGCTACATGTTATTTATTTATCTATCTATCTATCTATTTATCTATCTATCTACCAACCGATCTATCTATCTTATCTTATCTAATCTAATCTAATCTAATCTATCTATCTATCTATCTTTCTATCTTTCTTATCTATCTCTCTCTCTCTCTATCTATCTCTCTCTCTCTTTCTATCTCGTTATCTCTCTATCTCTCTATCTCATCTGGGCAGCTAGCTCCGCGCCCGCCGCTGTAGCGAGCTTACTTATGGTATGGTGGAACGCAGGGGTGGGGAAGTTTAAATAAAGAAGTATAATGGTGACAATGGTTTAGTGGAACGCAGGGGGGGAAGTTTAAATAAAGAAGTAGAATGGAGACAATGGTTTAGTGGAACGCAGGGGGGGGAAGTTTAAATAAAGAAGTAGAATGGAGACCATGGTTTGGTGGAACGCAGGGGGGGGTAGTTTAAACAAAGAAGTAGAATGGAGACAATGGTTTAGTGGAACGCAGGAGGGGGGGAAGTTTAAATAAAGAAGTAGAATAGAGACCATGGTTTAGTGGAACGCAGGGGGGGGAAGTTTAAATAAAGAAGTAGAATGGAAGTTTAAATAAAGAAGTAGAATGGAGACAATGGTATAGTGGAACACGGGGGGGGGGAAGTTTAAATAAAGAAGTAGAATGGAGACAATGGTTTAGTGGAACGCAGGGGGGGGAAGTTTAAATAAAGAAGTAGAATGGAGACAATGGTATAGTGGAACGCAGGGGGGAGGAAGTTTAAATAAAGAAGTAGAATGGAGACAAAGGAAGTCTCGCAGAAAAGCTTCGTTTAAGGGCTTCGAAGCTACATGTTTTTTATTTATCTATCTATCTATCTATTTATTTATCTATCTATCTACCAACCGATCTATCTATCTTATCTAATCTAATCTAATCTAATCTATCTATCTATCTTTCTTATCTATCTCTCTCTCTCTATCTATCTCTCTCTCTCTTTCTATCTCGTTATCTCTCTATCTCTCTATCTCATCTGGGCAGCTAGCTCCGCGCCCGCCGCTGTAGCGAGCTTACTTATGGTATGGTGGAACGCAGGGGGGGGAAGTTTAAATAAAGAAGTATAATGGTGACAATGGTTTAGTGGAACGCAGGGGGGGGGGAAGTAAATAAATAAGTAGAATGGAACAAGGGTGTTAGTGGAAGCAGATTAGGGGGGGTGAAGTTTAAATAAAGAAGTGAATGGAGACCGGGGTGGGGAAGTTTAAATAAAGAAGTATAATGGTGACAATGGTTTAGTGGAACGCAGGGGGGGAAGTTTAAATAAAGAAGTAGAATGGAAGTTTAAATAAAGAAGTAGAATGGAGACAATGGTTTAGTGGAACGCAGGGGGGGGAAGTTTAAATAAAGAAGTAGAATGGAGACCATGGTTTGGTGGAACGCAGGGGGGGGTAGTTTAAACAAAGAAGTAGAATGGAGACAATGGTTTAGTGGAACGCAGGAGGGGGGGAAGTTTAAATAAAGAAGTAGAATAGAGACCATGGTTTAGTGGAACGCAGGGGGGGGAAGTTTAAATAAAGAAGTAGAATGGAGACAATGGTATAGTGGAACACGGGGGGGGGGAAGTTTAAATAAAGAAGTAGAATGGAGACAATGGTTTAGTGGAACGCAGGGGGGGGAAGTTTAAATAAAGAAGTAGAATGGAGACAATGGTTTAGTGGAACGCAGGGGGGATGTAAGTTTAAATAAAGACGTAGAATGGGAGACAATGTTTAGTAGTGGAACGCAGGGGGGGAAGTTTAAATAAAGAAGTATAATGGAGACAATGGTTTAGTGGAACGCAGGGGGGGGAAGTTAAAATAAAGAAGTAGAATGGAGACAATGGTTTAGTGGAACGCAGGGGGGGGAAGTTTAAATAAAGAAATAGAATGGAGACAATGGTATAGTGGAACGCAGGGGGGGTGAAGTTTAAATGAAGAAATAGAATGGAGACAATGGTATAGTGGAACGCAGGGGGGGGAAGTTAAAATAAAGAAGTAGAATGGAGACAATGGGAAAGTGGAACGCAGGGGGTGGGAAGTTTAAATAAAGAAGTAGAATGGAGACAATTGTATGGTGGAACGCAGGGGGGTGAGAGTTATTAAAGGGATAGGGTCGCAGGTGACCGGATAGTAGGGTCGCAAGTGACCGGGGATAATAGGGTCACAAGTGACCGGATGATAGGGTCACAAGTGACCATGGTCCCCTCAGCCAGTGGCCACGTTGTCTGAACTTTGTAATGTTCAACGAGGTTTAACAGTTTTAACACTGCTTTCGGAGGCAGCATCATGACTTCGACCTACTGTAGCTCATAGCTTATCATAGCCCCTAGACACCAAATACCCAGTACCAGATGTGTAAACTTAAGATGTGCCAACTGTGGGTTTAGCAGAAGGCTCGCACTTTTCGATATTTTTAGCATCTTGCAGCGTCGGCTTGCCAAAGTTCTTCGCTGCCTGAGGTCGTTCAGAGGCAGTCGCTGCAGCAGGAGAAGGTGCAAGAGAGAGATTTCAGATAGATGCTTTCCCTGGGGGGTTTTGTAGCAAAGACCATCCTTGCAAAGGCCGTCGCTACAATCACCACACAGTCACGACCACCATCGCCACGACCACCACGACCACCAGCATTCATTCCGGGGACTCATGGGACACCTTTGCCTTTTCCATTGACATGCACATTCGTCAGCGGTGGATCCTCAAGTTGCGGAAAGAGCGGTTGCTTCACCCATTTTGATCCGATTTGACCCACAAGTCTGGGCTGGCTTGAAAACCAGCAGATTCACCAGATCTCCAGATCTGAGTGGCCATGGCATGCCACACATTGGCCCTGACCTCTGCCTGGTCTCGCAGGAGCCAAACTCCTGAAAGGTAGTCCTCTTGGCACCACGCTGGAGGAGGGCTGCGGTCTCTGGAAAATGATCCAAACAGCGACCCGGAGGGATGAGGATTTCCATATGTCAATCTTGTTGTGCCGAGGCTGTGGCTCCAGGCCTTGCCGGCGAACCAATGGGCGCAATAACCTGTGCCATTCCTAGTGAATTGCTGCAATGGCGGCTCCTTGCAGACATGCTGGACGCCAGCCTTTGCACCTGGGCTTATGATATTTTAGGATATTTACATTTACTGTACATACATTTATAATCTATATCCAATGCCCTTATAGTACAGTGCCGTGAGGAGACCGCCAAGACCCGCTTCTTTTACTTCGTCCTTGCAGCCGGTTCCAGGTTCCAGCTGCTTGCCCCAAGGATTGGCTACAACATAGCAATCAAGGCATGTGAGAAGCAACAGGACGTGGCTGGAGCCCGGAACCTTCTGAAACAGATGGAGCACTTTGGACTGCAGAATGTCTGGCAAGATACTGGATGTTATGGGAAAGTCAGTTGAGACGGAAATTTCTATGGTTTAATTTCAAATTATATATAATGTAATATGATACAATATAATTTAGTATAATGTAAGATTGTTTTATATAATGTAATATAGTGTAATATAATGTAATATTATTTAACATAATGTTATATAATGTAATATAATGTGATATAATGTAGTTTGATGTAACATAATATAATGCAACATAATGTAATACAATGTAATATAATGTAATATTATTTAAGATATGTAATATAATGCAATATAACATAATATAATGTAATACAATGTTTTATCATATAATAGAATGTAATATAATGTAATATAGTATTATATAATGTAATATAATAAACTATATCTATCTATCTATCTGTCTATCTATCTATCTACCTACCTATCTATCTATCTTTCTTTCTTTTTTTTTTTATAATATATAATATATTATAGTACATTATATTTTTCATACTATATTCTATTAGATTAAATTGAACTAAACTATATTATATCAAATTATGTTATATCAAATTCAATTATATTATATTATATTATACTATATTATATTATATTACATTATATTACATTCTATTATATTATATTATATTACATTCTATTATATTATATTATATTATATTAGAATATATTATATTGTATTATGTTAGAATATATTATACTATATTATATATTATTATATTATTATATTTTATAATGCACACACATACATATATATATATACACACGCATAAGTCTTGCCATTAGCTGTGGTCTTCTCTTCATCCAAGGCTCCAGCAGCTTCTACCAGACATCGTTAGCTACACATCTGCCATGAGAGTTTGTGGTGCTTGTGCGCAGTGGGCCACAGCAGTGCTGCTTCTGTCTGTGCCTTGCCTTACAGATACTGAGGGAAAAAGATCTTCCGGCTCTGGTTGGGACTAGTTCTTACGTTTGGCCTGCCTTGTGATTATCGTGAGAAATCACCCCTATCAAAGTGGCCTGTGTCCAATGCTGGGGAGGAGTGCGTCAACTTATTCAGCGAGAATTGAACGAGGTCACTTGCCAAAGACCAAATGAATCAAGTTAAACCCAAATATAAAGGTAGAGATGCTAGATATTCTTCAAAAGGCTTTCAACGATATTCCACATGAACAAACGACACGTTTCTGTATCAAAGACCTGGATCCAAACCGCCCGTGGCCGCCACATGGCCAGGAGCTGCGGCAGAAGTCCTTGCAGTTGGACTTGCTGGCCATGAATGTGGCCATGAAAGCCATAATGCAGTGGCAGGTAGCCCTTGCTCCTTGTTGGGATCCGATGATCAGAGGAAGACCATGGATGACACCCTTCAACTCCCCAGATTCTTTTTGTCTTTTATTTTAGTTAAAATGTGTTCATTTGTTTTCTTATTTTTTATTTTTCATTTTTTCGCTGGGCACTTTTGTTCGGGGCCGGCAAGTGTGAATGGTTGAAAACCGTCAAAATACACGGCACCACCTTGTCCTGACTTGGATGCTGTATAATTAACGCAGTTGCGGTGAATGCATAGTTCGATTTGCTCCATGCCCTGTGACTGCTCGTGCTGAGGCTCTATTTTGGGAGATTTTGGAGATAGAACTTCTTCCTGACCTCTTCACTTTTGCCACAGTATCTGGGACTGCTGGATCGGTCTCGGTCAAGTCAACGGGATTGTTTGAACAACCATTTTTTATGGCATGGCAAGAATGGAGAACATCAGCCCTGAGAATGCGCAACATTACCTGACCAGGAAATTTGAAATAGTTTGGGGTATGTGCGCCTTTTCCCGAGCCCAATGACCCTAGCTCTGAGCCACGCAATTGACAAGATCCCCAACCAGGTGCCATTTGACCGCCATTCTGAGGTGCTGGGCACCATAAAACACCAATGGCAGCTGGCCTGTGAGATCTATGGATTCATAGAGAAATCCCACCTGAGCGCCGACAGCATTTGTAACTTGGCCAGTGGGAAGTGGGTCAGAAAGACTGCTGATGTGTGGGGCGATCACTTCGATATCTGCATTTTCATCCGCAGTTCCCAAAAACTTGCGGATCGCAGAGGTTGAGATACCTGTTGCCTTCTGCCAAACGTTCAGAAAAGCGAGAAAAGCTAGTAAGAACACCCATGATACCCATGTCATTACTGTTTCCAGGTCACCCCTTGGCCCTGCAGGTCACCAGGTCATGGTCTCGGCAATGGGCTGTGCTCCATGGCAGCGGGCCTTGCGCCTCAGCAGCATTTCCGCCAGCTGAGAAGCGACTGGAGAGACTGCACACTTCGCTCCGATCTGACCCTCGAAAAGACACTCTGA